ATTTAATTTTTTTTTTTTTTTTTTGGTAGAACTAGGGATTGAACTCAGGCCCTTGCGCTTGCCAGGGAAGCGCTTATTCCACTGAACCATCTCCCTGGCCCCTCATCATTTAAAAAATAAATGTGTGTGAACTCAGAAAAATATTCCAAAATAGTCCAGTAGTCCATAATAGTATTGAGCCTTCCACTTGACTGGCAATGGTAGAAGTTGTTGACCTGAGTCCCTACAGCTCAACATAACAACATGGCTTTATTTTTTGTACTTTGATTTTATACTTTTCTGCTAGATGGCTAAGACCAAGATAAAGCAAGACCTATGTAACAAGAATTGTAGCTTTTGTATCTTATAAGGTCAGTCAAATCCCCTCAGGATTTATCCTGAGAGCCTGTACCTCAGATTGTAGATCCTTTGTTAGTGTCAGCCATGTGGATGAGTCACGGCCATTGCTTGGCCAATGTGTTTTCTGTGAAAGCCCGAGAGAATGTTTTCTCTCCATGTTACTCTCCTTAGGCACACTCTACATCATCGATCACTTTCCTCTTTGGCCCCATAATCTCCTTGATCAGAAAATTTAGGACACAGCTGAGTTACGTGATGTTATAGTACAGGTTCTCATAAGTCCAGAGTCTTAATTGATCTTGGAAGGCTAGGGCCAAAATGTTGGCTTTCCTTATGGCCTTCCTTTTTCTCTAATTTTGGTCTGCAAACTTAGGTTTTAACCCTCCAGAAGACAAGCTTATTGTTATTGCCATACAACCTAGGCTGTTGAGCTTAACCTTGGTCACAGATTTTAAATGAAAACAATTACTAGCCTGTAATGTCATTAATTGTAAAGATCAATAATAAAATATATAACTTCATCTCATTCAGAAAGCTTGACATGCATAGGTAAAAAATGGCTGATTTACCTTTTTACCATAAACTGTGACTCAAAATTAAAAATAATTTTGAGCTTTGGAAAGTGCATCCTGACGCCCATTGAGAATCCACCATGCTCCTTGTAGAGGGCAGCGGTCCTTCGTCTCCTGGTCTCCACGTGTGGAGGAACCCAAAGAACTTCTCTGTTATTACCATCACCTCATATGTGGATGAGGAGAGCATCTCTGCTTATGTTTGCATGTGCCAGCCTCTGTTTAAACTTTAGCTCCAAACTGAAACTGTGCTGTTTTCTGTGGAATTTATTTCAGGTTGAACATTCATATTTCCCTTGTGTGGTTATAGCTCCATAATTCTAATAATCTGACTGCAGAGTTGTTGCTACTCCCCTCCCAAGACTCCAATGTATTCCAATGTAGGAAGATATTGCTACTATTTTTGGTTTTGGTATTCTTTCATTCATGTTTAGTTTAACAAACATTGGGCCATTGGTTTGCTGAAGTAATAAACAAACCTGGGCTGCCACAGACAAAACTACAGTGAAAGTCTAAATTCACAAGGTCTCCAAGAGTCAAGCTCATATCAAAGCATAGAATCACTGTCCAGTGCCAATCCTGTTCAGCAACATGACTGATCTCTCCAGCAACATCTGCTCCAGAATTTCCAAGGCCAATCACAACTACTCTTGTACCCACAAAATCATCTGGGTGCTTGTACTCCCAACTGTGGAGACATCTGCCTCTGAACTTCTGGATCCCTAGAAGGAAAGGGTTGAATACCCACATCACAAACAGAAATGGGAAAGGCTTCTCAGAAAAAATGTATTCATAATCTTGAGATATCGTATTTGTTATTTAAATCTCTATATTTCTTGTTTGTCAGTTGTTACCAATATTATAGAATGAGATTACCAAGTAGCAAAATATTCAATGGCAGTGGTGATATGGCTAAGACCCAGATCAATGCATACTAATGTTCCTTTTTCTATATCAAATCGTAAGCTTTCTCAGTATGATGACTCTTGTCATCTTAGAAGACTATTGTATTTTTCTTTGTTTTAAAAATATATTTGGTACAGGGTCTCACTATGCATCTCAGACTTGTAGTGATCCTCCTGTTTTCAGCATCCCCAGAATTACAGGCATGCACCACCACACTGGGTCTGGGTGGCTGGTTCAGAGTGCCTGGGGGCCGGGGCTGATGTGGCATGTGGTGCCAGTGATCGAACCTTGGTCCCCAGGCTTGCCTAAGCAGGTGCCTAATCTGCTGAGTTAGCTTGCCCTCCTATATTTTTCTAAATATGAGGAAGTGTCTTTACTTTTTGTGAGTTGGTGAAAAAATGCACAAATACACAATGATCCTTAGCAATAAAAATGGTGCAGTATTGAGAAATCAAATGCACACCTCATGTGCACTTGTCACCATCTGAGAAATCATATGGAGAATGTGTTAAAGGTGAGATTAGCTGCAACAGCATATTTTACACTCTACTCTGAAATGCTATTACATCACCAAACGAGGTATTGAAGAGATATTCTACATATTTGTACTATATATACTCATAGTCTAGGACAGTGATGCTGAACCTTTTAGAGCTTTTTTTTTGGGGGGGGGCAGAACAGGGGAGTTGCTTTCAATGATCCAATCATCCCACTGTCACCCACCTGCTCCCGAGTTGTCACCACTGAACTAGGGTTAGTTTACACAGAAAGTATATCCTGTTTGCATTATTTGCACTTCAAGTGCTCATTTGTGGCACTGGGCAAGTGGCTACTACACTTAAACCCTATGAGCCATGAGTATTAGAGGATCCGAAACATTTTCAAAGGAAAATTTGACTATATCTCAAAAATATTATGCAAGTTGACATAAAGCCTACACTGTTTATACCACATGGTATCACTTCTTGAGTGTCACCATGACCCTAAAATATCTGAAATTTTTGCTTTCTTCTTTCAGTTTTGTTATAATTCCTTACTTGAGTTTCTATCATTATGTCTTTAATGGACTGAGAAAGTCTTCTGATTGATATTCTTGCTTTAGTCCTTCCTCCCTATCAATTAATATTCTTTACCACTGCAAGACTGATCTTTACAAAATACAAGCAGGATTGTTCACCTGCTCCCCTCTAACACACACACACACACACACACACACACACACACACACACACCATTGCAATCACTGCATAGTGAGGTTTTATGGACTCCACAGACCTCTCTCTGCCCAGTCATTGGCTCTACCCAGTCATTGCTGTGTCATTCTTTCAGTTTATCAGGCTATTTTGGACCAGCTTCATTTTGCAACTGCTTCCTGTCTCATCTGGTCTGTGTTTGCCTGAGTAATTCTTAGTTTCTGGGTTTCAGTGTTATTTCTAGTATCAGATCTGCCCTGACACTTCTGAAAAGTAGCACATATTCTTTTGCATTCCCACTGTGTCATGTGAACATGTCTTGCCAATGTCCATATATACCCAGAAATTAAGACTCTTAGAATTCAAACACTTAAACATTCACAGTTAAATACCTTCAAAGTCCTCTGAGGGCAAACTCTTTTCTGTGTAATGGCCACTGCAGACCATGACCCCATCAAAGATATAGGTTTTCTGCTTTCCATCATTTTCTACCACAACATCCCACTGGCCAGAGGATGGAAAATCAGGATGCTTTCTCACAGTGCACACCTTAGACTGAGACAGGCACAGAGTCAGTTTCATATTGAGAACATTGTTCTCACACTTCTCTTTTCCCTTAAATTCTGTTTTGACAAGTAAAGTTGGTGGCACTTTCTCTAGTTATAGCTACTGGTTCCTTAGCACTTTTATGCACAACTGCTTCATAGAATCATTAATTCTTGAGGATTAAAGCACTTTAGAATGTATAGTATATTAACTTTTTTTTTCAGTACCGGCGATTGAACTCAGGACCCTGCCCTTGCCAGGCAAGCACTGATTCTAATGAGCTATCTCCCTAGCCCCAGTATATTAACTTTTTAACGACTCATTTATTTATTTTAATTTTTAAAGAGAGTACAAAATAGTATTAAAACAGAAAGATTACAAATGATACAGAGGTGTTTTTTTTTTTTTTTTTTTTTTGTAGAACCGGGGATTGAACTCAAGTCCTTGCGCCTGCCAGGGAAGCACTTACTCCACTGAGCCATCTCCCCAGCCTTATAAAACTTTTTTTTGTGATACAGAGTTTTAATGAACAAAATAATATGAATTTGACAGTATTTATTGTATTGCAGTTTGTCTTAAAATTAGTTGTTGTTCCCATTACTAGATATATGCATGCAAAATTGGAAGAAGGAAAAGAAAAAGAAACAAATTATAAGAAATTAAAAAGAAAGAAAAAATTTCAAAAAGGAAGACAAAAAATTAAACATTAATTGCTCCTTTCCGTAAAACAGCAGAAACCCACCGTATAATTATCCAAACCATCCTCTTTACACATATAATTGTATCTCTTTTCCCCCCACTCCCTCTTCTGTCCTTCATTTAATACAGTTAATTGAAAAGTGGATTTCAGGAACACATTAGAAAACTATGTTTTGAGGGGGCATTAATTCATCACTAATCTTGAGAAAGAGAAGAAATTTGATAATTCTATCAGAATTTGTGGAAAATGTGAGTTGAAAACATGACTCTGCTTGCTCTGCCTTGAACAATGAGCAGGTAATGTCAGGGCTTTAACTGCTTACCAAGAATTGGATGTGTTTCATCAGACCAAAGTGACTGGCATACATACTGAGGTAGTCCATCATTCTGGAGTTGTGCACATAGTTGGGGTAATGATCAGGGAAAGGGTAGTCACTGAAGGCTGTCATCTCCTTGGAAGTGTTGCTGGTCAAAGACTTGTAGATCCCAGGCTGTCCATTTTCAGGTGTCTCCTGCAGAAAACAAAAAGCCCATGGCTTCTAGTACTGAGGAACACAGCAAGTAATATCAAAGTCTTGACCTAACTTATGGTGTTGGGTTCCTTTTTCTTTGATGGACTATATTTATCACTTTTATGTAATATTGCTCAACAGAGTGAGGTCAATGCACTCACTTCTACCAGAAGGAACTGGAGTGAATCCTGTTTATTTATTTTTAAAATTTTGTATTTATTTATTTGGAACAGGGTCTTGATATGCAGCTCACACTCATAGTGATCCCCCTGTCTCAGCCTCTCCAGTGCTAGGATTACAGGTGTGTGCCACCACACCCAGTTTCAGTGGGGCCAGCACAACATGCAGTATTAGGGATCAAAACCAGGTCCGTGCAATTGCCAAGCAGGCACTTAGACTGTCAAGCTATCTGCCTGGCCCAAATCCTGTTTGTATTGATGATCCCAAACCAATACCAGTAATTATATCACAACAGATATAATTAAGTACAACAAATGCTGATGGATATTAAAACAGTACCACAAACAAAGCCCAAACAAGCAAGGTTAAAGCAAACATAGAAGGAGCTGAAGAGAAACTGCCAAAGCCCAAGCGTCACAACTAATCCTTACATCTAAAGAAATTTAGTTTAAGAGAAAGCAATGGAGAAAAAGTTACTTGACTTAGGAAAAAGTCATGCAAATATAAAGTATATTAAAGCTTAAGTGTAATAAGAACTCCACTAAAAAACTGCTAGGTTTAATAAGTAAATTCAGTAGCATATCTGGATAAAAAGTCAACACTCAAAAAACTGTAGCCTTTCTGCACATCAATATAAACTCATTGAGAGAGAAATTCAGGAAGGAACACCCTTCACAATAGCATCTAAGAAACCAAACTACCTATGAGTCAGTCTAACAAAGGATGTAGAAGACCTCCACAATGAAAACTATAGTAGTCTGAAAGGAGAGTGAAGAGGATATCGCAAAATGGAAAGACATCCCTTGCTCTTAAGTAGAAAGAACTAATACTGTGAAAATGGTTATACTTCCAAAGCTGTTATACAGATTTAATGCAATTCTGATCAAAATTCCAACAGCATATCTGACAGACTTAGAAAAAATAATCCTAAAATTCATTTGGAATAAGAAAAGACCTAGAGTAGCAAGTGCAATTCTGGGCAACAAAGGCAAGGTGGAGGGGACATCACAGTCCCCTCTCTTGAAATGGTACTGCAAAGCTACTATGATAGAAACAGTATAGTAATAACAGAAAACAAAAACAGACCTGAAGATCAATGGAACAGATTAGAAGATGCAGAAACAAGTCCAGACCTATTCAGTTATCTTTTCTTTGACAAAGGTGACAAGTACATCCACTGGAAGAAAGGCCTTTTTAATAAATGGTGCTGGAAAAAACTCTCTCCACATGTGGAATATTAAAATTGAACCCATATCTTTTAACATGCACTAAACTAAATTTAAAATAATTTAAAGATCTAAATATTAAAACAGAAATAAATCTGCTGGGAGATAGAAGAGATAAAACTCTTGAAGATGTTGGTATAGGCAAAGACTAGGAATAAAACCCCAATCATATAAGAACTATCACAAAGAATCAACAACTTGGATTTCATTGTTTTATAAAGCTTTTGCCCAGTAAGAGAAATCACTAATAGAGTGTAGAGACAACCTATAACTTGGGAAAAAATGCTTGCTTGCTGCTCCTCAGACAAAAGATTACTATTGAGAACATATAAAGAGCTCAAAAAAATCAGAGGTTCCAAAAAGACCAATCCAAAAATGAATATCTGAGATAAATAAATACTTCTCAAAGAAATACAAACAGCAAATAAATATATGAAAATAAAATGTTCAACATCACTAGTCATTTGAGAGATGCAAATTAAAACAACACTGAGATTTCATTTCATCTCAGAAAGAATGGCTGTAATCAAGAAATCAACCAGTAACAAATGCTGGAGGAGTTGTGGGGGAAAAGAAGCCATTTTCCACTGTTGGGAGTGTAGACTGTTACAACCACTGTGGAAATTAGTGTGGAAATTCCTCAAAAAACTAGAATTAGGTGTTCCATTTGACCTAGCTATTCCCCTTCTGGGTATCTTTCCAGAAGCACTAAAAGCCTTGTACCACAGTGATATACGCACATCCATCTTTATAGCAGCAGAATTTCCCATAGCTGCAAGAGATCTTGGAAACAACTGAAATGCCCATCAACAGAGGATTAAAAAAAGTGGTATTTTTATACAATGGAGTATTACTCATTCATAAAGAAGGATAAGTTTGAGAATTTTATAGGTAAATGGATGCATCTGGAGACCATACTCTTAAGTGAAATAAGCCAGATGCATGTGTGCAAACATCATATTGTCTCCCTAGTGTGAGATGTTAAAGAGTAAAATATACAATAGATATTATGAAATGGGAAGAAACTGTTGAAAAGGAAAGAGAAACGGGTTGGGGAATGGAAAAAAGAAGGAAGAGAAAATCTATGTATAAGTTAAGATAGTAGTAGTACTACTAATTTCTCTTAGTTCACTGAAAAGAAAGTCTCATGCTAATACTGTTTGGAAATGATATGCTTATATCTTGAACTCTGAATATCTAATTTATAGATGAAAACATGCAGTGTATTAATCCTTGCTGCCCTCCTCTTATCTTGTTTTGAATTTTTTCTCTTTCAAATAAAAATGAATTTAAAAAGTAAAGTTTAAAAGTAATAATTAATGTAGATTAGATAAATGGGATGAGTACTTAAGAGTACAAGTTGCTGTACTTTAAGAGTATGCATTATAGTTCTGTAGGACGCATTCCTATTAACACTACACTTAGTTCCTCTGTCCTTCTGGGATATTACTTAGGACGTATACTCATTCCTTTAAGTAATGTGTTGCTACATTTATGATGACACACACTTTTCTTGATAGGGGTAGGTCTATTCTCAGAGTATCATATATATATATATATATATATATATATATATATATATATATATATATGGTACAGGGTCTCCCCATGCAGCTTGGACTCATAGTGACCCTCCTGTTTTCAGTCTGCCCAGCTCTGGGATTATAGGCGTGTGCCACCACACTTGGTCTCTTTCAGAGGTTCTTAAACATCTCACAACTATATATTATGGATCTCATGGTGTGGAAAGAAATGTCAGAATGAAGATTCATGAGATCAGTAAGCGCACTGGAGGTGGAATGAATATCCAAGGCTTTTGGGTTTGAGCTTTCTCATATATAACCTGTCTAACCAATCCTCCAATATTCCACATGGGTTATCAGGAAGATGGAAAGAACAGAACTACGCATGTGATTCAAGAAGTCCTCAGCTTACTTGACTGTAAGATATTCTACTTTGAAAAGAAATATTAAAGGATGAATCACTTACATGTCACATCAGCATTGTACTGCATAGTGGAAAGAGAATAACATGCTTTATGACAATATGTATAAAATTACCTTGTACCTCCACAGTCCTCCAATGTCATTGCTTTTTTCAAAGCACACAGGCTCAAGCCCCTCCTCCAGGCAGCACTTGATGGCACCTAATCTGCTGACCCCAGAGCCAATCATTGCAATCTTTTTTACTTTCATGTCTCTTGAATAGAAAATAATTCCTCAGTTCTGTTCAGAGGGGAAAAAATGTCAAAGTTCATGACCCTATCAGTACTTCCCTTCATTTTAGAATTCTTACTTATTTGAATAGAACTGTGCTTATTTCTCTTACAGTTTATGTATATATTATTCCTGATATGTATGTATATATATATGGCTGTCCAGATCTGAGTGTGTCCACATATTCAACCAATCATAGATCTACAATATTTCTGTTGAAGATGTAGATGCCACTTTTCCTGTCACTCTTTCCCAGAAAGTTCAGCACAAAGATTGATAACATAGCATTTACTGTTTATTGCAAGTAACCTCTGTGATTTAAAGTATAGGAGAAGAAATTGTGGGCTATACGCCAATACTATGCCATTTTTTATTTTAAGGAGAGAAAAAAGTAATAAAGTGATACAGAATTTCAAAAGAAGATGATAGAAAATTAACAATGGTTATTATATTACATGTTTTTATCTTTAAAGTAGTCGCTCAGATTAACAGATACAGATATACAAAATTGATTAAACAGCTTAAGCACTAACTGTACCTTTCAGTGAACTAATAGAAATTAGTAGTACAATGATCTTAGCTATCTTGTGTATATATACCTATCCTATTTTCCCTTCCTTCTTTTCTTCCATCCAGTTCTTTCATTTTGAACAGTTTCTTTCTCTGTCACTGTGTCTATTGTATCTTACTTACTCTTTCAGTTTCTTACACTAAGGTGGCAATTCAATATTTACACACGTGAGTCTAGTTTACTTATGAATATAGCCTTGAGTTTCATCCATTTACCTATAAAAACCTCAAGCTTATCTTTCTTTATAGCTGAATAATACTCCATTGTACAAAAATACCACATCTTTTTTTATCCATTCCTTAGTTGATGGGCATTTGGGTTGTTTTTGTATAAGTGACTTAAGCATATGCAGATCTTGATGTCCACAGGGGATTGGGAACTAATTCCCAAGAGATCACGAAGGATGAAACATACATAGTGTATTTGACCTCATCTTTAGTCTTTTTATAATAATCAGAAAGAGTTGCTTTGTTTTTTTTAAACTAAAATTTTTGATTCAAAATCTTGGATAAAAGAATTTTCATCTTATATTAAAATTTGATGTAAAGCTTGGAAGGTAGCTCAGCTGTTTAAGGGCCTGCCTGGCAAGCACACTGTCCTGAGTTCAATCCCTGATACCAACAAAACAAAACAAAATAAAGCAAAACAAAAACAACCTTATGGGTTGGGGAGATTGCCTCACAAATGTAAGGTCCTGAGTTCAATCCCCAGTAAAACACACACACACACACACACACACACACACACACGCACGCACGCACGCACGCACACACACACACACACACTGATTTAAAAATATTTTTGTCATTAAAAATGTAATATGTTCTGCTTAATAATAGCTAAAGAAGTGCTCTCAAAGTTACAATTAATGCAACTAGGACTGATGAAGTTTGTTTTCAGAGTTTTCTATTAAAATCTCATCATTTCATATCTTCTACACTATTTCTACTCAATTAAGTCAGATAAAATGTGCTTTGTTATCAACACAGAAATAGAAAAAAATGGAAACATTGAAGTATAAATTCTCTCATTACTCCATTTGGTAAATTTTCTTCTTTCTTTCTTTCTTTCTTTCTTTCTTTCTTTCTTTCTTTCTT